CACTTGATGAATCAATGTCCGTGAGCCAATCACCGATAATATAGGCCTTGCCACTCTTCTTCTTCTTGTAGAAGTCTCTCTTTTTGCCATCTCTCTTCTTGTATGGCTTGTTCTTTTTCTTTTCATCTTCATCACTTGAATCATCTTTCTTGCCCTTGTTCTTGAACTTGTCTTTCTTGGGCTTTGTGCATTGATGAGCTAGGTGGCCAAGTTCGCCACAATTATAGCAATCCATCTCGGAGATTGGCTTTCTTCTTGAGCTAGTGAAGAACTTCTTCTTCTTGCCGTCAAACTTGATGCCACTCTTGTTTAGCTTTTTTAGCATCTTGGCGGTCTTCTTCACCATGAGAGCAAGACTTTCTTCATCATCTTCATCACTTGAGCTCTCATACTCAAGTCTTGCCTTGCCCTTATCTTGGCTAGCTTTGAATGCTAAGTCCTTCTCTTTCTTCTTTGTAGAGGATGAGCCATCTTGTGGCGTGATGTGCATGTACATCTTATGAGCATTGATCTTTCCCAAGATTTGTGTCGGTGTAGCGGCGGAAAGATCACCTTGATGTAGCACGGTCACAATGTGCCCATATTTGTCAATGGGGAGGACACTCAAGATCTTTCTCACAACGTCGGATGGTGACATTTGAGTAAGTCTAAGCCCATTGACTTCCTCTACAAGAACATTTAAACGAGAATATATTTCATTAGCACTTTCTTTGGGAAGCATCTCAAAAGAATTTAGCTTTTTAATCACAAGATGATAGCGTTCCTCACGCTCACTCTTGGTTCCCTCATGGAGCGCACAAACGTCCGACCATAGAGCATGGGCGTCTTTGTGGTTCCTTACACGATTGAACACATCTTTGCAAAGGCCTCTAAAGATGGTGTTGCGAGCCTTTGCATTCCATTTTTCATAGTTTACTTCATCGCCTTGGAGTTGTGCGGCATTCTTAGGTGTTGGGAACCCTTGAGAGGCGGCTCTAAGAATTCCAACATCTAGAGCTTTTAGGTAAGCCTCCATGCGAATTTTCCAATATGGAAAATCATCCCCCTCGAAGATAGGAGGAGGTCCATCCCCGTGAGACATCTTGCTCTAAGCGGTTAGGCTTAAAAACGTGAGCACGAGGCTCCGATACCAATTGAAAGGATCAAGATGCCCAAGAGGGGGGGGGGTGAATTGGGCTAATTCTAAATTTTCTTGCAATAATCAAATCCTACGGATAGCCCAATTAACCCCTTGTGCCTAGACAAAGTGTTTCTATCAAATCAACGCACAAAAGACTTGCAACCTATGTTCTAAACTTACTCTAGCATAGCAATTCTATGAATGTAAAGACGAGTATTGAATTGCTCAAAGTAAATACTTAAAGTAAATGCTCAAAGTAAATGGAGAGAGGAACGCGGCGATATTTTGCCAAGGTATCAGAGAGTAGCCACTCTCCACTAGTCCTCGTTGGAGCACCCGCGCAAGGGTGTAGCTCCCCCTTGATCCACGCAAGGATCAAGTGCTCTCTACGGGTTGATTCTTCGACACTCCGTCGCGGCGAATCACCGAAAACCGCTCACAACTTGAGTTGGGTCACCCACAAGCTCCGCCGGGTGATCACCAAGCTCCCAATCACCACCAAGCCGTCTAGGTGATGGCGATCACCAAGAGTAACAAGCACGAACTCTCACTTGACCACGCGAAGCCTAATGAGAAGATGGATGCACACTTGTCTACACTTGATTCACTAATGAGGTTTCACTCTTGGATTCTCAAAACACAAACACCTCACTAGGACCTTGCTCTTCTTGGCACTCACAAACGGTTTCTTCAAAGCTGTTGAATGAGCAAAAGTGACTCCACACTCGAGTGGAGCTTCTATTTATAAGGCGACTGAAAAACGAACCGTTATGAGCTTTCATGGATGACCGGACGCCCGATCATATTGACCGGATGCTTCGGCCGATTCAACCAACATAATAGTTTCCAAGTGATGACCGGACGACGACAGGTCCGGTCAACACCGACCGACGCGTCCGTCGCTCTTGGATGCTTATCAGAATCGACCGGACGATGAATACTCGGTCTGGTCACCACCGACCGGACGCGTCCGGCCACACTTTCTCAAGTCTGGACCCTTCTGAGAGTCGACCGGACGCTGGCCCCCCAGCGTCCGGTCACACGACCTTCCAGCGTCCGGTCCTCGGACATATTTCTCCTCAATCAAATGAACTGACCGGACCTCGCGGCCACGGTCGTCGGTCGCAGACCGAGCCAGTCCGGTCAAGATTTGACCCTCCATTCACTTCCAACTCTCGATCATATGAGAATGAAGTTTGCTCCAAAGGATCTTAGGCATTCATAGGAGCTACCTAGAGCTAGTTTTAACAAGTGTGCACCACACCTAACTCACTAGACTCAACTAGGTCAAGCTACCCGTTCATACCCCCCTTCATAGTACGGCCAAAGGAAAAACAAAGTCCTAAACTACTCTAAGTGTCTCTCCAACTTCAATTGACACTTAGAACTAGTTATCCTTAACCTTGTCGTCCATCCTTTGAAAACCGAAACGATTTCCATCGTGGGGGCATAACAACCTCAATTGCCCAATCGATCTCTATTACCATGACCTAACTTAATTGCCTATGCAAAACACACGTTAGTCATAGTAATCTTGTATTGACATTAATCACCAAAATCCACTAGGGGCTTAGATGCTTTCACTCGGGAACATTTAAACGAAGGATCAGAGCGATTTCAAGACAAGACCCTCCAGCTCCTTGTTCCAAATAGCAAGAGGCTCGGGGGCTACACCCAAAGGGGAATACTTTTTTCTTCAAAAAGGTACACTCCACGCGAAGATCTCATAGAGCGCTACACGGTTTCGCTCAAGAAAGCACTCGGACGACGCTTATTCCTGCTCGGCAAAGCCTGAAAGAACAAGACGAGGCTTCCAGAGCTCAACCATGAAGTGCTCGGGGGCTTGTCGGTGCGGGACCCACAGGATACCCCGTAAGAAAGAGAGAAGATCTAGTCTAATTAGGATTCTCCTCATGTAATCTTAGTAGTAGTATTATCCTGTAATCCTACTAAGAACTCTCATTGTAAACTGACTAGGATTCTGACCTACTGACTATATAAAGGAGGACAGGGTTCCTAGAGGAAGAGACTTTTAACAATACAACACAACACAATCAATACAACGCAAGGGCTAACGCTGACTGGACGTAAGGTTATTACTCGACCACAGTTGAGGGCCTGAACCAGGATAAATCGACGTCTCTTGCGTTCATCATCGAGTTCCGCATACGCTGAAGCCCGAACAATACTGCCCCGAGGACCCCCGTGGCAGGCTATCGGTGGTCAAACATCGACAGCTGGCGCGCCAGGTAGGGGCTTTCGACGAATTTGCATCCGAGAGCTCGATGGACCTCGACAGCATACATGAACAGACTTTGAAAACAACTGCATATGTCTGCAAATAGATACATGCCTGGTGGACATCTTCTCAATGCGTACTCTAATGGTCAAATTTGCAGCTGTCATGAAAGCATAGATTTTCAAGTCATCATCGAATGATGCTGAGACCTGTTCTGCCAAAGCTAACGCTTCCTTGTCCCACCATGTGCCAGCAAGGGATATTCCGCCACCAGCACCTCCATCTCCAGCCTCCAAAACATAATTAAATGTTTATATAATCAAACTGTATTTATCAACCAAGTAAAGTAAAACTTACATAAAGATCCTGTTCATCATCACTCTCAAAATCATCTTCAAAGTCATAGTCGTCCTCAAACTCTTCGTCATCATCCATTATATCTGCACGATTTGGTGAACAGAGTAACTTTATTTGGTATAACAAAGTACTATTTGGCTTATATATGAAACTAATAATACTAACCGAGCAGGAGACATCAAAAGTCATGAGCAGACAAGTATGCTGGTTGCTGAAGCACTGTATGTTTTAGAGCACACAAGTTCAGACAGATGCATTGTAAATGGGAACCATTACATAACCCAAGCCCATAAGCCATTGTTGCATGTTTGCTATAGAAGGAAATACCAATTTACTAACAAGACTATACTGTTGCACCTCCAACTGTTTGGAAATAGGCTACGCAAATATGCAATGACATCTTCCCTCAATTCTGCGGTGTTTGTGGGTACCAACAATGTGCATACAACTGCATATTCTTTTGAAACAAAGGGAAGAGTCTGCATCATACTGCACGTCTTCCCATGGATGCTTTTATAATGACCGATAGGGGGGGAGGGGCGAGGGATGCTTCACAGTGTGAACTGTCAGATAAGGGGAGCCAAGAAATGGAGCAAAGTGCAGGGTCCAGAATCCCCAGTCGTCCCATAGAAAAACAACCGGAAACTCCCAACCATCGTAATAACAGATAAAACAAACATCACCAAGTTCACAAAATCCATTACCTCCTTCTTCAGTCAAGTCCTCCTCCTCTTCCACCTCCTCGTCCTCCTCCAACTCATGGGGTGAAATCATCGACACCTCCTCATCCGGCGGATCTTCGCTATACCCTTTCCTCTTCTTCTTGGCAAACGGCACCACCGCTGGGGCATTCCGACGAACGATTGGTGGGCATGGACATCCGTAAAAGGCAAGACTCACTTAGCCGGGTAGTGGAGGGCAACAAGCCGAAGCGTAAGATTTAAACCTTGATGGCCTCGACGGGAGGCGCCCATGAACGACGCCCCGACGACCAAATCCATCGGTTAACGGATCACTTCAGAGCCAAGATTCAAGAACCATCGAGCGTGGTCGCGCGCCAAGCGTCCGGACGAGATCAGTTTATCCTCTGTCAATTGGTAACGGAGTACGCCAACAGGTGTGTAAAACGCCTTTCCCAAAATTCGCCATCACTATCGCGGCCTCGCTTCCTCCCAGTTCTCAATGGAGAACGAACGAATCTTGTACACCTCGAAGAACACAAGCTAGCATCGCCAACGCCGCGTCCGCTCCAACGCGGCGACCCACGTGCCCACGGCCCACCAAATGCCGCGCGGCCACCACCACCCGCTCCCACGCCGCGGTCGCCTCCTCCAGCTCGCCGCGGCGACGTCCGGGCTCCTGCTCATCGCGCTGCTCGTCCTCCTCCCGGCCGCGCCGCCCTGGGAGCACACCACCGCGCCCGCCTCGCTCCTCCGCGCGGCCGTCGCGGCGCACCCGTCGCCGGACTCCTACGCGCGGCCCTGCGCCGACCACCTCTCCCTCTCGCTGCACCGCCTCCGCGCCGCGCTATCCTCCCTGGAGTCCGGCGACGTCCCCGCCGCGCTCCACCTCGCCTCCGCCTCGCTCCAGTGCCAGTACGACTGCTCCCACCTCCTCTCGCTCCCGGCCTTCCGCTCCCACCCCCTCACGTCCCGCTTCCTCGATTCCCTTGCCCCACAAACCCTAAATGCTGCCCTGAAACCTCCCTCTTCCGCCCCTGCCGCTGCATTCCCTGCGAGGATCCGCCCTGACGCCACAGTGTGCAAACCGAATTCCGGAGTGGAGCCGTGTGGCTACTCGACCGTGCAAGCCGCGGTGGATGCAGCGCCGAACTACACTGCTGGCGCTGCTGGGCACTTTGTCATAGCGGTTGCCGCAGGTACATACAAGGGAAATGTTGTGATTCCGTATGAGAAGACCAACATTTTGCTGATGGGGAGGTATGGGAGCTACTGTTATCACTGCATCACGGAGCGTGGGGATTGATGGGCTGGGAACTCATGAAACTGCGACGGTGGCTGTGATCGGTGATGGGTTCCGCGCGAGAGATATAACATTTGAGAACAGTGCTGGTGCTGGAGCTCATCAGGCTGTGGCATTCCTTTCAGATAGCGATCGGTCAGTGCTGGAGAATGTAGAGTTCCGTGGGCATCAGGATACCCTGTATGCTCACACAATGCGGCAGTTCTACACGCAGGTGCCATATTATAGGGACAGTGGATTTTATATTTGGGAATGCCGCAGCAGTGTTTGAGGAATGCGTGATTAAGACTGTACCACGGGCCGAGGGAGCTCAGAAGCGCGCACGAAATGTGGTGGCGGCTAGTGGGAGGATCGATCCGGGGCAGACGACAGGGTTTGTGTTTGTGAATTGCACTGTGGATGGGAACAAAGAGTTTGTGGAATTGTTTCGGACAAAGCCACAGTCATACAGGCTGTATTTGGGGCGGCCATGGAAGGAGTATGCCAGGACATTGTATGTCAGCTGTTATTTGGGGACAGTTGTCAGGCCGGAGGGATGGCTTCCATGGCAAGGTGATTTTGCTCTCAGGACACTCTATTATGGAGAATTTGACAGTCGAGGCCCTGGTGCAAACCACACAGCAAGGGTTGAGTGGAGCAGCCAGACACCAGAGCAGCATGTCAAACACTTTTCAACGGAGAACTTCATTCAGGGCCATCAATGGATTGCATACTAACTACAGTGTAAATTGTGTTCTTAGATCAGTGACTTATTGGCACCTTAACAACATGATGTGAAAATTTTCTGGAATGGTAAATGCCTTCATCCATTATTCCAAGGATCTCGAGAAACCTGTGCTTCCTGTTAGAAAATCCAAACTGATGTGGTTTGTTTTTCTTTTTACTACATCTGTACCTTTTTAAATTACATGTATTAGTTATAGTTTTGTGTTTTGTAATTAAATTGTTCCTTTGATAGAGTAAAGACTGAAAATTGTTTTCTCTATAGAATATGATAGAACATCTTTTACTTTATTTATTATATATGTTCGTGCATTGTTTCTGGCTTATTGTTTCGGCTGGCCTATTGTTTTTTATTGTTATGATTTCTAACTTCCAATGGACACTTACTCATCCACCTAGGATGAGATTCAGGAATTTGTATCTTTCTGGATTAGATTGCAGGGGTTTCACCTACAGCCGGAGACCGAGAACACCATCCTTTGAGAGTCGACTGCTGATGGGAAATATTCTATGCGCTCAGCCTATTGGGCACAATTCCTTGGGGGGCGGTCAGGCGTTCCAACACCAAACTCATCTGGCAAGCTGGTGCGGAAAACTGCAAGCTGTTCTTCTGGATCCTAGTCCGGAACAAGATCCTAGCAGCTGACAATCTTGCGATTGGAGGATGGCCTCACCATACTTTATGCCCCCTATGAAGTGGACCAACAGAAACCGGCCATCACCTCTGTCTCCTGTGTGCCCTTTCGCCCAAATGGTTTGGACAGACCTTGGAACAGCTAGCGATTCCACAAAACACCATCCCGACTAACTTTGATAGCATTATGGATTGGTGGGAAGCTGCAGCAAAATCAGTTCATAAGGATGAAGGACCTTAGGCAGGGTTTCAACACCATGGTCATCTACATTATGTAGAAACTGTGAGGGCAATCGACGAATGTTTTAATACAAGAGCCTTGGCGCTTTATGGGTGGCAGAGAAAACAAAAGAGTGCTTATTACAGTACAGACGGGCTTTCCAAAATCACTTTTGGCTATGGGGAGGAGCATCCTAGGTGGCTCGTTTCAGAAATCGAGCTGTGTCCCGCCTTGTTTGGCGAAGTTTATTGCCACATTCTTGTATATAAACTCTTTTCTGCTTCATTGAAAGGCAGCGGTCGTGCCATTACGATTAAAAATTTGCGGAAAAAGAAAGGTCAATGTTGCATCTTCTGTATTAGCTGAATGGATACTAGCAGTAAGCGATTTATTCAGAACTTCAGTTGGTAACAGTATACTTGGTATTTATAGTATATCCTCACATCTTCGCAGTCAATGGAATAAACAACTTAAGTTATCTGATGGATTTTCCTATAACAGTGCACTTGACAGTGATATGTTCTACAACTTTGAACGATTTGGTCATATCACAAAACTGTAGTTGCTAACAATTTGTGATGCAGTGGGTGTAGCGTTTAGCTAACCATTTTATCTTGAACTTAGAAGATTTGAGAAGGAAATGCTATGTTGCATGTTGTTCACAAATCACAAGGCTACAAAACAATGTGTTCTCACCTATGACAATCCGACCTGTAACCTAAACTGATTACTAATGCTTTAGAGAGTTTAGAATTGATATTGTCTGCCTGAGCAGCAGTACCATGTAACATAGCTACAACATGTTACTACTAAAAGGTGCCTTGTTTTTAGATGTTCTGTTTTTATCTTTCTCTTGTGGCACACTTCCTCTTCGTCAGAAGACAATGTTCTCCTAAGATCTTGGATGCTCATTCCCCAGTGCCTATCAGAGAAGTTTGTTTTCTTTGCCTGGACAATTTCTCATTTTGGTAGAGCTTTCTGCCTTTCATTCAGAATGCCAAACTTCTGAAAATACGGTGTCATCATGTCATGCATTTCCCACCATCATGCACGCGCTTCAACAATTGCAAACTCTTGCAAGGTGGAGCAAAATGCAGGTGTTCCGTGTCCTCATGCAAACTAAACATTCCAGTTGCTGACGGAACCTTGAGTACCTGACTAAATTCTGATGGAAAGAGGCATCCAAATTCCGCCCTGCACCCAAAATTCTCCACATACTAAACCTACTACTAATAACTAACACCTGGGCCACAGTTATGCACTATAGCCGACGAGACAATTTTAATTTTTTTCCTTTTCCCATTTTTTCCCTCTTAGCGATTCGGCCACTATTTAGTCACTGTAGCTGACACGACATTTTTTATTTTTTAAATTTTATCTTTCCTTTTCCTATTTTTTCCTTTGCTTTTCTATTTCTGTTTCCCCTCCGCGCGCGTCTTCCTAGTACGGATAACACCGGATTTTTTATATTTTTAATTCTTTTTTATTTAATATTTTAATAATAACTATATATAAAAAAATTGCAGATCTAACATTTTTTGTCGTGCCAATCCCGCTAACGTGACCAAATAACGTTGTCGCGCCACATGCGTTGGCACGGTAAGGTATGCCACGTTGGACAGCGTTTTCGACGTGGAAAACCTTATCACGTCACTTCCGTTGGCGTGACAGTTTTGTCACGCCACCCGGAGTGGAGTGAGAAAACTCAACTTTAGAAAATTTATAACTCTTCGATACGACGTCGGATGAAGATGAGTTTTATATAAAAATTGTAGAGCCCGATGAGATCTATGATTCTAATTTTGAGTTTTTTCATTGAGGAAGTGAAGATGCTCAAAAAAATAATATAAAATTTCAACAGCATAATAATCACGTACTAGTGCTTGTCGTATTAGAAAAATAATATATTTTTTGTATGGTGTCAAATGAAGATACCTTTTATATCAAAGTTGTAGCTCTCAATGAGATTTACATCTTTATAAATTTTAGTTTTTATATTTGAAGTTGTTAAGATGCTCGAGAAAATAATATAAAGTTTCAACAGCATATTAGTCATGCACCAGGGCATGTCACCTCCTAAAAATTATATTCTTCTTGAAAGGTGTAAAATGACGATACTTTTTATATCAAAGTTGTAATCATCAATAAGATCTCTAATTTTTAGTTTTGAAGTTCTTCATTTGAGATTGTTAGAATGCCGAAGAAAAAACAATCCTTTTTTAGACGTGGTTATTATTAAAATATTAAATAAAAATGATTCAAAAAATAAAAAAATCCGATAACACCTACCTCACCCAGTGGAACAATAAATTTACACGTCGTCGACTATGGGCCTCTTTGGCAGGGCTTCTGCAGGGGCTTCAGCTCCGGCTCCTGCAGGAGCTATGTCAAACGTCTGTTTTGGAGAGGGCTCCGCATGGGGAGCCGATCAAGAGCCGGAGCCATTTTTTGCCTGCGTAGGAGAAGCCTCAAAAACGAGCTTCGCGCGGCTCCTTGCTGTGGGTTCACGTCGTCTAGTACGAAGGAGCCGTTTTGTCAAACGTTTTCCAGAACGGCTTCAGCTCCTCCAGAGGAGCTACTCCTTCAAAGGAGACAAAGCCAGAGCCATTTTTAGAGAAGTCAGAGCCCTACCAAAGCCCTATATACAGTTCACAAAAGAATCAGAGGGCCATGGACCATCCCTGATACCGTGGCCCCACCTAGATCAGCACCTCGGACGCCTTCACCATGCTATCGATGAGCCTGGCCGCACCGACATGGCGCAGCGCCGCGTCGGCCAGCTTCTGGCCCTTAGGGCCGCTACCGCCGAGGACGACGCCGCGGAAGGCGCAGAAGACGGCCCGGGAGACCATCCTGAAGACCACGTCGGCGGGATGGAGGCTCTTGAGGAGCATCCGGGCCGTCGTCTGCCTCCTGTCCTGCATCTTCTCTTCCGATGGTGAGCCAACCGACGCCGACGCGCTCATCATCGCCTCCACTGTCTCTTCCGCGCTGGCGTCAGCGTCTTCACGAGAGCCTTGAAGAGCTCTGCGGTGGCGTTTTCCAGTTCCAGTGCAGTGGCCTTTGTGCTTTCGCCCATCAGAACTTGACGCAGGATGAGCATGCTGGAAAAATAAAACAACACAAGTTGGGGTTAATATCGTCAAAATTAATCTTTTTGACAGACTAGATTGAAGGATGAAGGATAGAAAATATAGCTAGATACCTTGTAGCAATCACGATGACTTGTTGGAACTGGCTCTGTACGGCCCTCACCCTCAGCAAATTGATCTGGAAGCGTTAGATTGATCTCTAATCTCAAATTGGACCCAACGGCTCAGTTGGGTCTTTGATCCGTGCCCTGATCGGGGGCGCTCAGCCCACTATGGCTGGAGGACCCCTGTCACACTGCGCTATATAAAGAGATGGAGGTCGGTGGCTCTGAGTACAAGATTTACCGTGAGCCGAGCTCTCCACCGAAACCTAAACCCTAATCCCGATCAGAGAGGGGCGCAGCTAGTGATGGGAAGCCACCAGTTGCGCCGTCCTGCTCCACCGACGTCGACGACTTTATTGACCTCTTCCCCGAACGTCGTTGCCCGTGCGCAGACTTCACCGACGAACGAGATGGCGGCTTCTGGACCATCTCCCTCTGCGGTGTCAGGTTCGACATGTTCTTCTTCTATTCCTCTCTATCTCTCTACTCTCGATATCGCATTCACAGTAAAGAGAATCCGCTAGACCTAACCCTATATGATCTTTTCGATCTCAACAATGGTACCAGAGTCAGGTCTTCTATGGTTTTTAGATCTAGATCGGGTGAACGAAAAACACAGTGAAATCGAATCCCTAACCCTAGTTTTGATCCGAAATTTCTAACCCTAACCGAGTAAAAGAAAATGAAAAGAGACCGAGAGGTGGCGGGCGTCACTCAACTGCCAGTCACCACTGCCACCGCGTGGGGAAATGTGCCGCACCGCCGTCTTCACCGGCGCGCGGCAAGAAAAGAACAGAGCCGCCGCTTGTCTGCTCGTCACCGTGATGCGCGCGCGCGGGCTTAGGGTGCCGACATGGGGCCGCTTGACGGCGACGCGCTCTCCATTTGGGGAGCGCGCACGCCGACGAGAGGGCCCATGGCGGCGCCGCCACCTCCTCTCGTC